TGCGGCCATCTTTGGGGGGGACTATTACTGTGCCTACTGTGAGCAGTCAACTAGGAAAATGACCAGCATATTCCAAAGGAGTAGGCAGAAACACTGAGATCTTCCCTCTGCCCAGAGACATCCTACGGCTCCCCTGAAGGGTCAGCAGTGCGCTTGGCGAGAGTGGCCTCAATCCGCCTGGCATCACCAACCTTTATTCTTCTTTTTCTTGCCCAGAATTCTTTGTTTAAAAAGATCCTTGCTCCCCAACATAGTGCATCATCGGTGAGCTATGCTTCTGGCATTTACGGTTCTTTTCTCGGGCAGACACACCTACCACTCCAGCCTCTCTGCTGAGTCAGAGGCAGCCCGGCCAAAGGCACAGACGCTGGATGCGTAGGTCAGTTCCAGGCCTGACCTGAGAGGACGCAAAGCTGCTACTGGGAATTCTAATCGCACAATCAGGGGGCCAGAGCAATGGGCAATTAGCAATGTGAAGACAGAAACAACATAAGAAAAGAAGAGTAAAGATGAAAGTCAGTGCACTTTAACAGTATCTAATAGCATCTCCAGCTAAACCTGTCCCAGGCTGAGCTCCTGGGCCTTTCTGTGCAACCCGCCCCTCCTCCAGGCTGCACGGCACACCCAATCCACAGGAAATCCTGCTGGCTCCACCTTCCAAACAAATCCACTGGTTATTCATTAGTCAGGGGAAAAGGAAAGGTTCTTGGAGTGGTCACCCCCTTAACCAAGGGCTCCAAGTTACCATCACAAATGACGGAAGAACAGACATCAGTAGCCCCCTGAGGTGATGTCCTCAGGACACACCGTCATGCCTGTGATAGTCCTGCCAAAGATGCTCAGTGTAAACCAAATCAGAGGGAATGATCAGAAAACTCGAGGTTGGGGGACATTCCATGGAACTCTTGGACTCTTCCAAATGTCAATGTTATGAAAAATAAGGAAGAACAGGAATGCCGTTATAGAGCTGGGTCAGCAAACATTTTCCATAAAAGGTCAACGAATAAGTATTTTAGATTTGTGGGCCATACAAACCCACCTTTGCAGCTACAGACCAAATGCAAACAAATGTGTGTGGCTGTGTTCTAATAAAACTTTATTTATGAAGACAGGCAGTGGGCCGATTGCAGAGTCCTGTTGTAGACTAAAGGTTACTAAAGAGACATGATAATGAAATACAGTGCTTGATCCTAAGCAGATCCTAGATTAAAAATAATAATAAACATGCCCTAACCGGTTTGGCTCAGTGATAGAGCATTGGCCTGCAGACTGAAAGGTCCCAGATTAGATTCTGGTCAAGGGCATGTACCTTGGTTGCAGGCAAATCCCCAGTAGGCTGTGTGCAGGAGGCAGCTGATCGATGTTTCTAACTCTCTATCCCTCTCCCTCCTCTCTGTAAAAAATCAATAAAATATATTAAAAATAATGATAATAATAATAATAAACAATGCATATAAGCAAAACCCATGGAGGGGGGCGAGGGCATGTGCTAGGGGGTGGGAACGGCTGGGGAGAAGTCAATGGAGGAAAAAGGAGACATATGTAATACTTTAAGCAATAAAGAATTTAAATTAAAAAATAATAATAAAGAGTAAAAAAAGGGCTTTGGGGGGCAATTGGAGAAATCAGAATATAAGCTATATATTAATATTGTTATCAATATTATTGTTATCAGTATTAAAATTCTCAGGTATGATATTGACACTGTTATATAGAATGTTTTTGTTCTTAAGAGATACAGGCTGAAATATTTAGGAGTGAAGTGTTACATCCATCCACAACCTATTTTCAAAGTGTTCAGGGGGGAAAATGTGTATACATACATACACGCATACATATGAAAGCAAAGACACAGCAAATTTGTTGAAGGCTAATAATGGATGAAATAGGTAGTAATGGGTATGTAACTAATGACTACACCATTCTTTCTTTCAACTTTTCTGTGGGTTTGGCAATTTTAAATGAAGAGTTGGGGAGAAATTTCTCCAGAATCTGACTTCTCCTCCTCACTCACCTCCCACCTGGACTACTGTGTTGCCTCCTCCCTATATCCACGCCTCATCCTATGATTGCCAAATGACTGCTATCTATATAAATATAAAAGGCTAATATGCAAAGTGTCCCCTTGGGAGTTCGACCGGGAGTTCAATCACTCACTATGACATGCGCTGACGACCAGGGGGTGGCGCGGAACAAAGGAAGACCCCAGCCAGCAGTCAGAGGCCCTGATCGGCCCTGATCACAAGCCAAGCCTAGGGACCCTACCCATGCATGAATTCCGTGCACCGGGCCTCTAGTTAAAATATAACGCAGAGCCTTGGCCCGGTAGCTCAGTTGGATAGAGCATTGTCCTGATACACCAAGGTTGTGGGTTCAAATCCAGGTCAGGGCACATACAAGTACCAACCAATGAATACATAAATAAGTGGAACAACAAATCAATGTGTGTCTCTGCCTCTCAAATCAATAAATTTAAAATTATATATATATATCTCACAGATCCTGTCCTTCCTCTGCTCAGACCCTCCAGTGAGTCCCCCCCACTCAGAGTAAAGCCAAAGCTTTTGCAGTGGCCCACAGGCCCTGCACAGTCTGCCCGCCTTGCCCAGCACCACCAGTTTCCCCTCAGCCCTCAGTCTCCACTTGATCTGTCTGCTCAGCCGCACTTGCCTTGCTGTTCATCCAACATGCCAGGTACACTCTCACCTCAGGGCCTTTGCATGTGCAGAACCTTTGGGCTAGAATGTTCTCCCCCGACACCTGTACTGTTCGTTCCCTCCTGAGTATTTTCAGTGAGGTCTCCCTAATAATCCTATCTACACCTACAACCTGCCCCAAATACTCCTCCTTCTGCATCCCGGGTGTTTTCTCTAGAACAGTTATTGCTATCTAATACACTTCATATGTTAACTATTGATTTTGTTTATTGTCTGGCTTCCCCCCAGAATGTAAGGTCCCCAAGGACAGGATTTTTTGCATTTTCTTCTCTGCTGTATTCACATCTACACATATACATCTGTGAACCACTGACTTAACATTGTATATCCGTTTACTCCTCACAACACGTATTATACATAGCATAAATTCGTATATAGTACACAAAATGGGAATATTAGTATACACATCTCATAATAATGTGTGATAACTGAATGTCAGAAGGCCTGTGAAGTGCTCAGCACACTGCCTAGCACAAAGTGAGGGCGCATTAAATGTTGTGATTATAAAATACCCACAGAAGAGGAGACTGAAGCTCTGATTGGTTAAATCACCAGCCCAAAGCTACCTGGCCGGGAAGACGTAGGGCCCAGAATGGAACCCATGTCAGCCTAACTCAAGAAGCCACCTTCTAAACCACAATGCGAAGACATATCAGTGTTTGGAGAAAGGCAGGGGCAGGAACAGAAACCAGCACAGTCCAGGATTTAGGTACTGCCTTTGGCACAAACTCATGTGTGACCGCAGCAGTTCACTTCTGCTCTCGAGGCCTCCATTTTTTCCTTCTATAAACTGGGAGAAGTCATTTCCCAACCCTAACATAGGGACAAAATAGTGTGAAACTCAAGTAAGATAAGCTGATAGGAGAGTACTTGGTAACTGTGCGATCCAACACTTTTCCAGGCTAAGATCTGCAGCTGTGGCAAAGGGCCCACCAAAAATGCCAGTGGACTAAGAATTGTAGGCTCCAGAATGCAAACCGTAAGCACCCAAACTTACAAGAAAAATAAAAAATGGTATGTGTTCCTCTTAACCATTTGGCCTTTGCCCATGCTTCTCCCACTCCCTCGACATCACCCCTGCCCCCCATGTTGTCTGGTGAGGGTCTCCTCACCCTGAAGCCATCGCTGGACCCCAAGCCAGGTCAGGCACCCAGTGGGCAATCCCATCCCAGCTCTGCCCATCTGGTTGTCACTCTTGCAGAATGGGTCGATCCCGACTGGACTGAGCTCCTTGAGGGCACAGATTGGGCTGACTTGGTCCCTGCTGTCTCACCAACACTGCCCAGCACAAGGCCAGGCACAGAGTCGATGCTCAGAAAATACTAGCTAAATGAAGCAATGGATGGATGGATGGATGAGCCAACAAATTACGTCAATTTCCTTATTCTGTGCTCCCATAGGCCTATTCATCTAGTTCATCTTTTTAAAGTAGCTTGTATTTTGAGTGTTTACGATGCCCTTTAGATCTCAGCTCGGGCTGCCCTCGTCTAGACACCATGACCCTGGATCAGGTGGCCTCTCTGAGCTCCGGAGTTCCCACCACCCTGACCACTTGGGGGTGCAATGACGGGTCATGAGTGTCTCTCCCAGTAGCCAGCAAAAAGCCAGCATGGGCTGTCTCTTGAATAAATGGACGAGCAAACACGGTGTATCAGTGTATTAAGGAACAGACGGATGAGTGTCTGTCCACTCTGGTTAAATTGCCTTTTTGCCAGATTCTCAGGCCACCTCCCCAGACCGCAACTTAACTTTGCCCCGAGATACGCTTCTAACCCAGTCCTGTTTCCCAGAGTATTAACCGGGGCAAACCGCTGTCCTAAACGAATGACATACAAACAAACACCTTTAACCTCCCAAGACAAGAGGAAAACTGAGGCACGAGATGGAGTTTTGGAAGCCAAGATGCCCAAGGATGGCTGGGCAAATCACTCCGCCTAGTCCCTCCTCCGCTGGCCCCTAGCTCCTCTCAGCCCCGGAGGGCCCGGCCCAAATTACTCTCGTCCCACACTATTGGCTCTCCCAGACATCAGTCGCCACGCGCTCTCTTACTCTATTGGCTGGTATTTTCAACTCGGGAGCTAGCGCCCTGCCCCGCCCCTTAGCCCACGCCCGCCCTTGCAATTGGACTCGCCGCAAGCCCTTATCCCAGAGACCCTCCCTATTGGCTGCAAAACTTTGCCGGTTCGGGCTGTGATTGGTCGTGAACAGAAGTCCAGCCCCTGAACAACCACCTGAGAGGAGTTGGAGAATGGAAAGGTTGGAGGGACGTGGGGTCAGACTCACGCTGAGCCGGCGGGAGGCAGACATAGGTCTTGAAGAACTCGCTTCGGCGGGCGCCCGCCTTAATGCGGTTGGCAAGCGGCTTGCTGATCTGCCGGATGCCCAAGTATAGCAGCTTCGCCATGGGGAACGCACCCACCACCATCTTGGCGGTCGCACGAGGGACGCGTAACCCTCCTGACTGGGCGGGGCGCTTCCAACCTCTCCCTCCTCCTCCGCCCGCTTGTCGCTGTGCGTGCGTGCGTGCGTGCCTACGCTCGGAGGGAACTGCATGGGCGCTCCTTGACGTCACCGCGTCGCGCGTCACAGCGACATCGTTCGCTGAATATGCAAATGTACGGCGGAAGCGAGGCGGTCAGGGGGCAGTGTCGTTAAACTGCTGATTGCGGGAGCGTGGATGGGTCCTCACTCCCGCGTCGGGTGGTGTTGCCGCGCTCTTTCGTGACGTTACGTACCTAGGTGGTCGCTCGGCCCCAGTGAGGCTCTCAATTAGTCCTAATTGGGTTAATGAATCCCAAATACACCTGCCCCCGCAGGTTAGGGCTGTCGCTGGGATTAAGAGAAAACTGGCTGTGTAGTCATACAGACCTGGTTTGAGAGCCCGGCTCCGTCATTCATTCATTTGCTGTGTGATATTACGCGAGTGACTTAACCTCTCTGGGCATCAGTATTCGCGTCTACAAAACGTGATTCATGATTGCTCTTACTGGGTTGCATGTGCATCTGAGTGTAAAAATATAACGCACTCTGTTAAGTGCTTAGAACGGTGCCAGTCGCATAGTAACTTAATAAGCATTTAATAAACAGCCCTTATTACTACTATACACGTATTAGTGTCATCATTGCTAACTCTAGTGGGAGGCTGCATTTCATCGCCAGAGGCAGCTAATCCAGCCCTCTCCCAAGCAACAGAGAAGGGCAGGGGGCTGGCACAAGGTCCTTCAGCCGGCAGAGGTTGAGAGCCCAGCATTTTGGCCAGTAAAACCGTACCCGGTCTCAAGCCGCCCCACTGCCTCCATCGCGGGGCGAGGGTCCCCAGGGAGCTGGCTCAGGAAGGAGTTTAAGGACATGTTCCAGCCTGTCCTCCCTTACCCAGCAGGGAGCAAAATCATATAAACAGGGTCAGGAAGGGGTTGAGAGAAATTTCTGGGTGGTGGAGTGCTGATGGGTAATTGAGAGGCTCCAGGAGCGGCAGAGGGAGACGAAGAGAGGAGCAGAGGAGTGGGGTGAACAGGGCACAAACCTTCAGCACATAGAGTCGGGAGACCCTGGGCTTTCCTTGCATCCACTCTGACTCCCCGACCATCCTTTGTCAAGTCCCAGGCGCTGGTGTTCCTGTTTCTTCATCTGTAATAATGATGGTACTGACATGTGTGAACCCAGATATTCTAAATCATGTAGTAAGCGTGACAAGACCATAAAGCAAACCTCCCCTGGGATCCCTTCTGGACAAAGTGTGAGGGAGCTTGGAGCCTATCCAAGGTGCATATCCACTAGGGACCAACCCCCTCCCCATTTTACAGACTGGCTAACGGAGGCCAGAGAATGAAAAGGATTTATCCAACATTCCAAGGATCATCAGGATGGAGCTGAAGGCTGGGATTTCACTCCCTTTCTTTAAAATGTGATTTTGTTTTTTAAAATATGTTTTTATTGATTTGAGAGTGAGAGAAAAAGAGAGAGAGAAACATTGATGTGAGAAACATTGATCCACTGCCTCCACACGCACCCCAACTGGGGATTGAACCCGCAACCTGGGCATGTGCCCTGACCGGGAATCAAACCCAGCGATCTTTGATTGCACAGGACTATGCCCAACCGACTGAGCCACACTGGCCAGGGCGAGGCTTGGATTTCTTGAGTCCCACCCCAAAGTCTTCTCCTGGAGCCCAAGGACCTACTGTGGGGACTTAGGTAACTTCCAAACTTGTACATGACTTTTTTCTGTATAAGTCACTGCTGTTTCCTCAGCTCCTAGAACAGTGCCGGGCACATAGTGGGTACTCAATAAATATTTATTGAATGCAAATGAGCATTTGGTGGAGGGTAATGTGCAGGCTTTCGTCTCACCCTCTGAGGAGACTGTGTTCAAAATATCTGACCCCCTGCAACTCCATCCCAATAGCTTTATGGTGGTGAGACAGGATGGGAAAATTACCAGAGCCCCCAGATCCTAGACCCCCCTTTTTCTCTCCCAACACCAAAGCCCCAACTTCCTGCATCTCAGTAACCCCCGCCCCTGCAAAACCATTTTCTTCATTAAGTTCTTTTTCCCCCCTCATTCCCGTCCTCCCTCCTCTTCCTTTCTCTGAGAAGGGTTTCCAGGAACCTCTTCTGGGAACTTCTGGGGCAAGGGTGTGTGTGGAGGGAGGTGGGGGTCGTCACATCTCATCAGGAGCATGAAGCCTGTTAGGTAACCAAGAAAGGTAACCTACCAGAAGGGGTGAGGCCGGCCCAGAGGCAGGTGCGTCCTCCTGTTCTCCAGCCTGGCTATAGGAGGACCATTCCTGGTGACCTCTGGGGGCTGAGAGAGGGAGGGAGAGACCAGCCAGAGCCGGCAGCCTTGGCCACTCTGGGGCGTGGGAACAGAGGCAGCGACCGGGAGGGGAGAGGGAGCCCAGGATGGCCCCAGGCTGACTCACCGGCTGTGCGACTCCGGCTACTCTCTTGGCCTCTCCAGTGACCACCCCGGAACAGGGCCTGGGATCGCTCCCAGAGGTCCTTCCAGCTCAGGCTCTCCGTCACCGTTTTCCCAGGATGGGCAAGAGGCTCATGCTGCACAATCCCACAGCCCCCCCAGCTTCTTCCCTCATTGTGTTTCTTCAAAGTAAAAACCCCAAAGCAAGCGCAGCACAGTTCCTTGCTCACTCCACCGCCCACCTCGGTCCCCCTGCCAGCATCTCCCACCTGGGCTACTACACCGCTTCACGGGGCTCCCAGCTGCCGCCCTAACTTCCCCTATTCTGTTCCCCACTCAGCAACCAGCAGGACCCAGTTAACATTGAAGTCAAATCACAAATCACGTCCCACCTCTTATGGCTCCCATTTACCTCAGAGTAAAAGGCAAAGTCCTCAGCAGGACTTTTCGAGCCCCAAAAGATGGGCCTCTGGCCCCTTGCCAGTCTCACTCCCACTTCTGTCACCCCCCACCTGCTGTAGGCACACCCGGTCCTACTGCGCCTCAGAATTCAGGCATCTCTGATTCCAGGGCTTTCCACTTGCTGTTCCCTCTGCCTGCGATGCTCCCCCCCCCCACCCCACCCCCCCACGCCCCCCCACCCCCGGCAGCCACAGGGGCCCCCTCCCCTCCTCCAGGACTTTGCTCAAATGCCACCTTCTCAGTGAGCCCTCCCCTGACCTCATCTAGCTCAGACTCCATGTCCCTCTGTCCCCTTGTGTGGCTTTATTTTTACCCAATATACTTATCAGTTCCAAACTTTGTATTTATTTTGCTTTACTCCCTTCCTGGGCGCCCCTCGATGGTGGCTCCGGGGCTGTCTTGGTCACCACTGCGTCCCCAGCCCCAGCCCGCACAGGGCCGATGGGAAGTACAAATAAACCTGTTGACCGAACAGCTCCTCCAGCCAGTCTTCCTTGATTGCCCTCCACTTGGGTTTGGACATTCTCCCTCTTCTTCCTCAGTCCTGACTTGGAGAATGTTAATCTGAAAACTCAGAAGTGCTCTGTCCTGCTCCCTCTCCCCTACATGACGGGGGCTTCCCTACAGCAAAAGTGATCACTCCACACTCAGTGGGTTTCTCCTTCCGCCTTCCCCTTGAGTCACCCCCTCATTGGAAATAAGCCTCATGTGGTGTGTGTGTGTGTGTGTGTGTGTGTGTGTGTGTGTGTGTTTTCTTCACCTCTGGAAACTTCACGTACTGGTCTCCTACTCCAGGACGCCCTCCCTGTCCCCCAGACTGGGTCAGATGCCCTTTGGGGTTCCCCCAGACCCTGGCCTCTCCTGCCTGAGCCCTGCCCCCCTGGATCATCACTGCCCAGGGGCAGATCTGTCTCCCCCATCGGAGCGGGGCCGTGAGGGCCGGGCCAGGTCTGCCACTCATCACCCCTATGTCACTAACACTGCCCCGGGCAAGGCCAGGCACCGTTCAGCTGGACTATTAAGGGGCCGTGACGGGGGATGACAACTGACCAGCGACACCCCAACCTTGCTGTTTTCCTCTTTTCTTATATTCACATGATTAGTCACATGGCCTTATTTACATACAATCGGCATACACCAGAGCAGAGGAGCCAGGGTGTGGGATGAATTTAGGGGGGGAGGGGGTGCGTCTCAGTGCGATCTGAGGTTCATTGCGCCACCGGAGGCAGCATCTTCAGCTGCACCTGGTCCTCCTGGGAGGGCGGAGCTGCCGCCCAGCCGGCGGCGGCCGTGACCCTGGCCACGTTGCTCCTCTTGGAAGTGAGCGGGGTCTCCAGGGTGAGGGAGGCGCTGGCCATCTCCTGGGGCTTGTCGCTAGCCAGGAAGTGCAGCAGGTCGTGCAGGGCCCTGGCGACGTCGCTGCGGGTGCCCTCGTTGACCAGGCAGTAGAGGATGGGGTCGGCCACGCAGTTGAGGCTGGTGAAGGCCAGCGAGCTGTGGTAGGCGGGGAACACGCGCTCCTCGAAGCCGCAGTCCCAGGGCCGGCCCAGGTGCACGGCGCTGCGGGACAGCAGGAGCACGTGGTAGGGGGCGAAGCAAACCAGCACGATGGCGATGAGGCTGAGGGCCAGCCGCTTGATCTTGGTCTTCTCCTGGCGCTCGGTGGACACGCTGCCCCGCACGGCGCGCAGGATGCCGCGGTAGGACAGCAGCATGAGGGCCCAGGGGAACAGGAAGCCCACGAAGACCCGGTAGAGGTTCATCCAGGCCACCCAGCTCTCCATGGGGAACTTCTCGAAGCAGAAGGTGTGGTTGTAGCGGTCGCGGAAGAGCTCGTCATGGAACAGGGGCGCCGAGTTGGCGCCCAGCTCCGTGGCCCAGACCACCGAGCTCACGGCCACGGCCGTCTTGACGCGGCGCAGGCGGGCGAAGCGCAGCGGGTGGGCCACGGCCAGGTAGCGGTCCACCGAGATGCAGCACAGGAAGGCGATGCTGATGTAGATGTTGGTGTAGAAGACGAAGCCGAAGAGCTTGCACGAGCCGGGCCCGTGGATCCAGTTGTCGTGGTGCAGGAAGTAGTCGACCCAGAGCGGCAGCGTGCAGATGTACAGCAGGTCGGCGATGCTCAGGTTCATCAGGTACACGCCCAGCTCGTTGCGCTGGCGCACCTGGCGGTAGGCGGCCCACAGCGCCAGGCAGTTGGTGGGCAGCCCCACGCCGATGACGAAGATGTAGAGCGAGGGCGGGAAGAGGTGGTCCATGCGCGAGTCCACGTGGCAGCCCTCCCAGGTGCCGTTGCCCATCCTCGGCGCCGCCGGGCCTTTCAGGGGCTTCCCATGGCCCCCGGGGGCTGCGGGGCCGCGGGGGGCGGGAGGCCATGGGGCTCCCTGAGCCCCCTCCCTGGAGGCTCAGGGGGACATTGGTGGGAGGCGGTGTCCCCGGGGAGGAGAGGGTGGTGGCTGTGGACGGGAAAGGGTGGAGCTTGAGAGGGGAAAGTTGGGGGAAGGGCTGAATCAACACAAGAGGGAATTGGGGGTGGGGGGTGGGGGGTGAGGGGGATGAGCCAAGGGCTTTGTCAAGGAGGTGTTTCTAGACGCAGAGTGCCAATGGGGGAGGAACGGGGTGACCCAGAAAGTGGGCGAGGGGCGTGTTTATGGAGGAGATGCAGGCGTCGGTGGGCCCTGGGGGGGACTCTGTACAGGATGGAAGGTGCACGTGGGGCTGAGCCGGAGTAAAGGTGGGAGGAATGTACCAGAAGACTCAGGAAACATACAGGAAGGTGTTGAGACAGGACGGGCTACAAGCAGGGAGTGAACAGACCAGGCAATGCGGGTGTGGGTGCTGGCATTTCCCGGGAAAAGGAGGTGTTGGGGGGTGGGAGGTACAGGGCGGAGGAAGGGCTCAGCCTGGGGGATGTGGGAACTGGAACAGGAAGGAGGTGAGTAAGGGCCAGATCAGAGGCGGATTGTAGATGGAAGGGGCAATGGGAAGGGGGCAGGGGAGGCTGCGGCCTGTCCTGTGGGAGCTGAGCAGTGAGATGAGGCGGCCCCACCTGCAGGTTCTGGGTTCTGCGTGCTGGCCTCGCAGTGCCTGTGGGGAGAGGCCTGAGTGAGGGGCATGGCTGTGACACGCCTGGCAGAGACCCCCTGGAGACCGCAGAGGGGGGACACCCAGATCATGCCTCTTTGACCCCCATGCTAGACAACAGCTCTCTGAAAACACAGATCTGAGGCGCCAGATATATTTTCCCCTAATAGATGTTAAAATAATGACCCTACTTAGATTTTAGAACATTCTTCCAAAAACCACATAAAGCTGGCACAGGAGTCTACCCTGCTTTGGGGAAAGCTGGATGAGGTTAACGCCGTCATTTCACAGGCAGGGGGGAGGGGCTCAGAGAGGCTGGGTCACGCCCCTCAAGGACGCACAGCAAGGTAGTGACAGAACCGGAACCAGAACCACAAATGGAACCAGAACCAGCCTCTCATTCCTAACCCAGGGCACCCCATTCTTTTTTCTTTCTTTTTTAGCTTATTTATAATTTTATCCTCACCTGAGGATATTTTTTCATTGATTTTTAGAGAGAGTGGAAGAGAGAGAGAAAGACAGAGAGAAACATTGATATGCGAGAGACACATCAATTGGTTGCCTCCTGCACCAGCCCCCACCAGGGCCCGGGCCAGGGAGAAGCCTATAACTTAGGTACATGCCCTTGACCGGAATCGAACCTGGGACCCTTCAGTCCGCAGGCCGATGCTCTATCCACTGAGCCAAACCAGCTGGGGCCAGGGCACCCCATTCTTGATAGTGATGATGAGGAGGAGGATATTCACAGCTAAAGTTTGTGAGTCCTGCTACATAGCAAACCTTGTTCTAAGCACTTTTATGGGTGTTAATTCTTTTTTTTTTCTTGGTTTCATGCTTTATTTTCACCTTCTTGAAATTCTTTTTTTTTTTTAGAAGTTTAAAAGTATATATTTATTTATTTTATTATTTTTTTTTATTGCTTAAAGTATTACAAAGAGTATTACATGCCAAAACCGGTTTGGCTCAGTGGATAGAGCGTCGGCTTGCGGACTGAAAGGTCCCAGGTTCGATTCCAGTCAAGGGCATGTACCTGGGTTGTGGGCATATCCCCAGAGGGAGATGTGCAGGAGGCAGCTGATCGATGTTTCTCTCTCATCGATGTGTCTAACTCTCTATCTCTCTCCCTTCCTCTCTGTAAAAAATCAATAAAATATATTTTTTTTTAAAAAAGAGTATTACATATGTCTCCTTTTTTTCCCCCGCCCTTGACAATCCCCTGGCCTCCCCTACCCCCCAGTGTCTTATGTCCATTGGTTATGCTTATATGCATGGGTGTTAATTCTTTAAAATGTCAAGAACCCCATTGAAAGTACTATTATTCCTGCTATTGGACAAACTGAGGCACAGACCGGTTCAGAGACCTGTCCAAGGTACTGATGATGAGAGAGGAGGAATCTCGGCTCTCGCCCCCTTTGCTCCAGCCTGTGCTTCAGGTTCCTCTGGAAAATAACTGGACAGAAAGAAGCCTGGACAGCAGGGGCTGGGAGCCACAGCTGCAGGGGGCTGGGGTGAGGGCTGAGCGCAGAGGCTGCTGGATCCGATCAAGTTCAGGGAGCAGGGCCAGCATGCCGTCCCCTCCCCCAGGGACCACACCCTCATTGCCTCCTTTCTGACTTTCCCCGAGTGAGAACCCTGGGCCGGGCACCCCCTTGGTCCTGGGAAGACCTGCAAGCAGGGGCCAGAGGGCAGTCATGGACCGAGCCACTCCCTGAGCACGGTCAGCCCCAGACAGAAGGGGAGCGAAGCCTGAATCCCAGGCATTTTCAGAGACTCCATTCAGGGGTTCGCACAGGTTTCATTTCCTGGGCTTTTTAGAAACAGGAAAGGTCTTAAGTGGAAACCCCACGTAAGATAGTGAAAAGGGAAAGCTGCTCTGTGCTCTGGATGGAATAAGGAAGGCGGGGCACCTCTGAAGAATCCCCCGACACACTTAGAAAACCATTGGCCAAGCCAATGGGCCAGATGACAAAACGGAGGCCAGAGAGGGGAAGGGAGGAGCTCTAACTCCCACAGCAGGTCTTGGCCACCTCCCAGGTGCCTGCGCGTCCTTCCACGGGACACCCCTCTGGTTCCGCCCCCCTCCACGACCCGCCCTGAGTCCCTGCGGGTCTCTAAGCCCCGCCGCTGCCTGCTCTGTGCCTCCATCACGGCTCACCTGCTGGGACCCCGCAGTAGCCTGCTCCCTGCCTTCTGGCTGCCGTTCTGATGTCCTTCGCCTCGTTTCCCACGCTGCAGCCAGAGAGGTCTCTCCACCATGGAAACCAGCTCTGGTGGCTCCTCTGCTCCAAGCCCTCCAATGGCCTCCCAACGAACTGGGGGTAAAATCCCAGCTCCCTGCCCCCGGTGCCAAGGCGCTGCCTGACTTCCTTGCCCACCGCCCCTTCCCCCTCTCAGCGGGTGCAAGGCCAGTGACCTCCTTCCCAGCTGGAAAGGTGTGCCCCGCTGCCCGGACTGCTCTTTTTTTTTTTTTTTTATTCCTCACCCGAGGACATGTTTCCATTGATATTTTTTTTTTAGGGAGAGTGGGAGAGAGAGGGAAAGACAGAGAGAAATCTCGATGTGAGAGAAACACATTGACTGGTTGCCTCCTGCATGCACCCTGACCAGGGCCAGGGCCGGGGAGGAGCCTGCAACCAAGGTGTGAGCCCTTGACAGGAATCAAACCCAGGACCCTTTGGTCCGCAGGCCGACGCTCTATCCATTGAGCCAACCCGGCCAGGGCTGCCTGGACCGGGCGCTCCTCCAGATCTTGGTAGAACCAGCTTCCTCGCCTCCCTCACTTCCTCAAGGGGCCCTTCCCACCCAGAGTCCCGCCCACCACCATCCCCAGGACTATTCCCTCACCTCACCTTGTATCTTGTTTTTGTCTGTCTGTCTGTCTAGAGTGGAAGTCCCAGGAGGGCAGGGGCATTGCGTTGACTGCTAAAGCTCCAACATACAGTAGGTGCTCAATAAATGACTGTTGACTAGAGGAGCACGCATTGGCCAGGCTATCCCCAACGCAGGCTCCCTTGAGGTGCCCCACTACCACCACCACCACCACACACACACACACACACACACACACACACACACACTTCTGGCTCAAACAAGCCCCTGTGGGGTCCCAGAGAAAGAGGTGGGGTGTGTGTGAAAAGGGCAGGATCTATCTGGTACGGAACAGACTTTGAAAGGTCAGGGCTGAGTCCTGCTTGGTAAGTCCTACCCCCTGCGGGGTCCTCGCCACAGGGCACCTGCCCTCACCCCAGACTCAGGCGGAGGCTGGATCCTGTGGAGAAATGATGGAGGGGGCTTGCTCCCTGCTGTCCCAGTGCAATCCAGTCCCTCCAAATCAGAACCTGCCCCTGCCCAGACCAAGTTACCCAACCCCCGCCCCCCCCCCCCGCCCCTGGCTCTCTGTCCCTTGGTCTTCTCCTCTCTCTGCCCTCTGTCTCTCCTTCTGCCTTTTGTAATATCGAGGGAATTACTTCTTTTTCAGGAGCCTCAGTTTCCCCTTCTTATAAAAGGAGGGACACAACTTCTATTTATACTCGTCACATCACAGATCCAAACATCCTTGTTGGTATCATCTTATCAATTATTGAACAATAATTGTTATTCTACCGCCACTGGAGAGCTAAGACCAGAAGCCAGTGTGCAGTGGGCGGAGGCCCCCAGAGCCGGGATTTCCCGCTGCCCCGGCCTCCGGAGACCACCTGGGTTCAGCCGCAGCGGCACCGGCACTGGCTGGAGACTAATTCCTTGCAGCCACAGGAAATACGCTTCTCCTTGCTAATCTCCTCAAGGGGAACCAGTGGGACGCTCACCCCTTCCTGCTCCCGCCCCTCCACCTCAGCCCACCTGCTTCCAGGGAGCGCTGGGCATGGGGGAGGGGCACTCAGACAGCCCCCTCTCCCCCAGATCTGCCCACCACGGGCCCCGAAAGACAGCACAGTGTGTGACAACTGGGGTGCGAGGCTTTCTCTGACCTCTGCCTGCCCAGATGGGGAAACTGAGGCCCAGGGGGGGCAAGGCAGTTCTCTAAGGCACATGCGGTGCCACCACTGGGCAGATGTGTCCCCCTTAACTGAAGAGCTTCCCTGCCTGGATGCTGTCTCTCACTCCCCGCACCCCGGGAACTCCCCCTCAAGACTCGCTGGGGTTCTCAGACCCTCGGAGAATCTGCTGAAAGACACACCGACTTTCTCACTATAAGAAAGCAAGAGGCCTGGCCGGCGTGGCTCAGCGGTTGAGCTTCGACCTGTGGATCAGGAGGTCACGATTAGACTCCCTGTCAGGACACATGCCCGGGTTGCGGGCTCGATCCCCAGTGGGGGGCATGCAGGAGGCAGCCAATCAATGATTCTTTCTCATTATTGATGTTTCTCTCTCTCTCTCTCTCCCTTCTTTTCTGAAATCAATAAAAATATATTGAAAGAAAGAAAGAAAGAAAGAAAGAAAGAAAGAAAGAAAGAAAGAAAGAAAAGGGCTTGTAGTGTCTTGGCCATCCCTTCATCAGTCTCTCTTGTCCAGCTCCCCACCCCTCACCCCAGTGTTGACCCTCTTCAGTTGGGATCTAAGTGGCCTCCCCTACTCAGACTTTGCTGGGAGCTCACCCCCCAAATCTCTCAGCCCCCACAAGAAGCTCCCCCTGTCCCACAGGCCCCCTCCCCGTTTTGGTCCCTAAAACCCCTCCCCAGGGGAGCAGGAAGAGAGAGAAGGCAAGTGTGGAGTGATAGTGGGGGGACGAGAAGGATTGATCAGACCCCGGCCCCCACTTTATGCCTCAGCTGTGCAGGCCAGATTAGTGCCTAGGTCTGCCAGCCACCCCTGAACCCAGCGAGGATGAAGGACTGGGGTGGGGTTGAGAGGACAGAGGGAGACGTGGAGCCACAGGCTACCTCCCCCCACTTCCCTCCTCTGTGGGCTCTGGCCCCCCCACCTTTCCTCACCCCCCCTCCCCGGCTCCCCATCCCCCGGCAGCCCCAGGGGACCAGCCAGCTCCGGTCTGCTCATTAGGGGACGAAATGTGATCACCGCTCAGCTCCTCGCTCCCCACCTGGTGCCCTGGTGGCAGGCGGAAGCCAGGGGACAGTCAGGCTGCGCTGACCGCCCTGCTGTGCCTCGGTTTACCCTTTTCTACCAAAGGGGTCCTCACGTCCCCCAAGGCCCACGCCGCCAGGAAGGGACAGCAGGGTCACCAGCCTCATCCCTCTGATGTTGTAAGTTCCAGCGTTCTCAGGCCTCAGGTGCTATTGTTAGTCCGTCCATGGTTGGCTGTTCTATTATTGTAACATCCTAGAGCCTTACCTTCGCTCCATCCTCTTATTATCATCCTCACAGCTTTCCATGCCCTCGCCCAATATGCCAGGAGGCTCGCATTCCAACATTCGAAAGTTCTATTGTTAGAACGCGCTCTGATTTTTTTTTTGTAACATTCTACAACTTTCATAATCTATTATTAACCTCTCGGTGATTATTATCTTTGCCAAGCAAAACCATGAATGCGTATTTCCCTTTTTCTACAGAAATGGGAACAGACTGCATGTACGGTGAACCCCGCTTCCTTTCCCCCCTTATCTATTCCGTTTCTTTAATGTTCCAGCAGCCTGAAGTTCAACGTTAGGCAGAATTCTCAGATACTAAGGACTCCTGGGGAGGGGGGTTAGTCACCACCTCCCTAGTCCCTAAATTCTCACGTGGGGGGGAGGCAGGCCCTAGGAGCCCAGGCTGCCTCCCTACTCCTCGCTCAGAGGGTTTAGAATCAGCCCTCCCGCTGGCTCACACCAGCTGAGTTATTATTTGTCTAGACACAAACCAAATTATAGGCCCTGTCCCAGGGGAGCAGTGGGCTTCATGGGGAGGGTCAGGAGACAGAACCAGGCAGGAACTGATCCTGCCTCCCCACTTTGCCTCCTCTCCCCCCTCCTTCTCTGAAACGCCTCACCTTCCACCCGAACCAACCCTTGTCCCCTCTCCCTTGCCACCACCCTGGCTTTAGAAATATTTTCTCTTCTCTGCTTCTAAAACGCTCCTCTGGGTTCCAGCCATTCCTACTCACCCGGGCTTTCTTCCCTCCTCCCAGTGAAGACTCCCTTCTCCAAGTGAATGCACTGAGCAGAAGAAGCCAGGGCTTCCGTGGAACTAGACCCCCAGCCCCCAGACCGGCACTGACTCGCTGTGGGGACTGCTGCCCTCGGGCCTCAGTTTTCCCATCTGTAAAGTGGGTGCTTGGCCCAGATGGCTCTGGAAGCTCTTTGGAGCCCACAGCTGGGAACGCTGAAAACGGCCAAGATTCCAGCAGGAATCTCTTTGGATTGAAGGGTTCAAATATCTTGAGACCTTTGACTTGAAGGTTACATGGAGCATTCATTCCCAGTTCTCCCCTCCGATCATTCCCACATTCTAGGTCTTTCCACTCGAAGACGTCACACTCAAGGCTTCTTGGATATATGATTCCCAGAACCTGGCAGCCCCCATGGGTCTCTGTCATCTCATCCTAATCGGACTCCCTCCAAAAGGAACGGCTCCCCATCCTCATCCCAAATATGAATTGGAGTTGAGGGGCGCCCTTGGGGGGGGGTCAGGCGGAATGAGGCTGGTGGGGGGGCCTGGAGGGGGCGTTGGAGGGTGTAGCCCCCATCCTCTCCATCTGTGCCTCCAAACAAACCCCCAGCACACATCCTGCGTGGGCGCACAGATAACCCCCAACGGACGCCCCACCGAAACCCCAGAGCTGCCCCGCAGCCTGGTTTGGTTGGGGGGTGGGGTGTCCAGTTCAAAGAGGGGGATGAAGTGGAGGTAGGAAGGAGTTAACGGTGACCAGCCAAATCCTGGAAGGGAGGAAGTGTGAAAGGAAGTCCCCCCACACCCCCACCCCCGCCAGGAATTCCTGAAATTGGAGGGTGGGGTGGGTGGGAACTCGGGAGCCGCGGGTGGCTGTGTGAAAAGAGCGCTGGGGTCACAATGTCACTCAGAGGCCACCTGCCCCAGGTAGCAACCCTGCGCCCCCCCACACACACAGCCCAGGAGCGGGCTCTGGGGTGGGCGAGGATTTGGAGTGAGATGAGGACGGGGCCTAAAACACAGGGAAATAGCGAGTGAGGCAGAGACAGGAGGGAAAGGGCAGAGAGAGGCACGGACAGAGGGAGGTGGAGGTGGAGGTGGAGGTGGAGGTGGAGGCAGAGATGGAGAGTTCCGCCAGAGACGGGGATAGAGGCGCACAGCGACCCGGAGAGAGAAGGGGTGCCGAGGCCGAGAGAGAGGGACAGGGGGACAGAGACGGGCAGGCAGAGGCAAAGAAAGGGACACAGACACCCAGAGGTGCAGAGGGAGACACGCCCAGAGGGAGAGGGCCCGCGGTACAGAGAGAATCGGAGACAGGCGGGGAGATGGAGGCAGATCCGAGACAAAGTCAACCGCGGAGACGTCGGGAGAGCCCGCAGCGGAGCGGGGCGGGGGCAGACGGCGCGGGAA